TCAATCTGACTGGATGATCTGGTGAACTGGAAAGTGACCTGAGATGACATGATGTGAATTGGAGCTATAGAAATAAACTGAATAGAATTGAAAATCAAACGTATTTTCTTGTGGTAAAACCATAAAAAACATATGAAAAATGTAATAAAAAGTGAAAAAATTATTTCTGTTACAAAGAAAAACCCTGAAAAAATATAAGTATGAAAAACAACATTTTTTCTTAAGAAATTTGGCAACATAATTGTAATACATTTTTTATTCATTAGTTTTATTTCTGGATGGCATTTTGTTTTCCTCTGAATGTCTTCCTTGTTTGGAGCAATATTGGAGCAAACTTCACTCCATATTCTCTCAGCCAGAACTCCTAAAGCCAACAGAGCCGTTCAGATCCTGATTTTATTGGCAGCAGAATTAAACGTTTATAATTAAACACGTAGTCAGACATCATGGCATTAAAAATAAACTGGTTTCCCAAGGAAGGAGATACACTGAAAAGAAACAATTAGTTAAAAAAAGTAAACTAAAGTCAGACATTTACTGTAACAAAGGGATCTGTGAGATAAGAAAGAAGTGTGAAATATAACAAGACCTGCCTGGTTCCTGTCCATCCAGATCAGGTTCTCTGGGCTGAGGAAAAGAAACCAGAGAGAAAAATATGAGCCTTTTGTCTCCTGATAAAAGCTCTTATATTTCCGGATCTCCTCCAGCATCTTCTGCTCTTTTTACAGAACAGTTGTTGCTTTTTTTTAACCTTAAATGTGCTGCAGCAGCATCCAGCCTTTAAACCCCATAAAGCCAAGTGTATCATATTCGATGCATGAGTTTTTGAGACTTCTGCATCCTCAGTGTGAAGTTTTTGTTGTTGAAACACTGACTTAAATATTCAGAAACATGTAGTGAATAGAAAATGTATTCTGAATTACCTAATGCATCAACTTTGATGCAAATAAATGATCTAATTTAACTTATGCACCATTTTCCAGAAAGGTCATTGACATTCTAATATTGGAAAATGTGAATGTTCTTTCAGTTATTTCAGGCTTTAAAGGGTTAAAACATATCAGCTAGATATGTGGAGCAGCAGACATCTGACACCGCAGCCCTGTGGAGCTCCACTTTCTCTCCTCCTGGTGCACCCCCTCCCCAGGGGAGCTTTAAAAGGTTGCAGGACGTCCCGTTCTCACCTGTCTCTCTGAGCTTTCCCCTCATCATCATCATCTCACCTCTTCTCCTGTTGACACCATGAGTCTGAGCCGCACCAAGAGAATCAGCTCCAGTAACTCTGTGCGGAGCAGCGGCGGCTCCAGAAGGTTGAGCGGCTTCGGTTCAGGTCAGGGGGGCTTCAGTGGCGTCTCTCTGAGCAGCAGCTCCCTGTACGCCGGTGCCAACGGGCACCTGGGCCCCGCGCTGACATCTCTGTCGGTTAACAAGAGTCTGCTGGCCCCCCTGAACCTGGAGATCGACCCCAACCTGTCCATGAGCAGAGCCCACGAGAAGGAGCAGATCAAGAGCCTCAACAACCGCTTCGCCAGCTTCATCGACAAGGTAAAGAAACCACCTGAGGCCGTTTCCATAGAAACAATCATTTGGTGAAGCTTTTTTCTTT